TACAAAAAATTAGCTGGGCATGGTGGCGCGTGCCTGTAATCCCAGCTACTCAGGAGGCTGAGGCAGGAGAATTGCCTGAACCCAGGAGGCGGAGAGTGCGGTGAGCCGAGATCGCGCCATTGCACTCCAGCCTGGGTAACATGAGTGAAACTCCGTCTCAAAAAAAAAAAAAAAAAATGGAGCAGTCTAGAGAAAGTAAGCCAGCCAGTGGGGGGTTTTCACAGGGTTATGTCTGGAATCCCAGGTCTCAGTTCATGTCACTGGAGAGTGGAACACAGGCAAAAATTGGTAGCCCACTTCTGACTACTTGCCGAAAAGAGGATTGGTGGCCCTATGGAATATCTCAGGTCCCTTCCTAAGAATCATGTTATCTGAGACTTCTCTACCCTGGGACCTTACAGTCCCTTGTCAATCTTCTGCTCTAGCATTGTTCTAACAATTACATAAATTGCTATTTCTATTACTAGATGTGAGCTGCTCAAATGTAGTGATTATTTCTTATTTATTTTTGAATTCCTGGTTCCTGGAATTGTTTCTGGCACATCACAGGAACTTAATAAGTGGTAGATCATTGACTGAAAACAAAGAAATTATCGTCCTGAGAAAACAAATAAATACAGAAATGATATGAGTTGGAAAGTCCTGATTGAAGTCACACATGGAATTTGTTTTTTAGAACTTTGGTGTAGGGTTAAAAATTATGACCTTACTATGTGTTTGTAATAACAAAATTGGAAAATACAGAAATTCTAACAAAAAATGGTAATTGCATTTATAACTACTAATAACATTGGATACATTCTGCTTATTTAAATGTCTGTATTCATTAGCCGTTTGTATTTCTTCACCTGTGAAGAGCCAGTAATGTTTTTTGCCCATTTTTATTTTGATTTATTCTGTTTTATTGATAGTAAAAACTATTTGTTTTTGAAGAAATCAGTCCATTCTCATAAATGTCCCAAAAAAAAACTTATTGTTTTATATAAGAAAAAAACTTTTTCCAAGGTACACACATCTTATGCTATTTGGACTCCTTATGGTTTTGTGTTTATTATTATTATTATTATTTGTTTATTTTTTTTTGAGACAGAGTTTCACTCTTGTTACCCAGGCTGGAGTGCAATAGCGCGATCTTGGCTCACCGCAACCTCCGCCTCCTGGGTTCAGGCAATTCTCCTGCCTCAGCCTCCTGAGTAGCTGGGATTACAGGCACGCGCCACCACGCCCAGCTAATTTTTTGTATTTTTAGTAGAGACGGGGTTTCACCATGTTGACCAGGATGGTCTCGATCTCTTGACCTCGTGATCCACCCACCTCGGCCTCCCAAAGTGCTGGGATTACAGGCTTGAGCCACCACGCCCGGCCGTTTTTATTATATTTTAAAGAAAATTGAATTTTAAATCTAGAAAGCTTTTTGGTTTCTGCCATTGTATTTATGCTTAAAATTCTTTGTTTATCCTAAGATGAGACAAATTTGCCCATATAAGTTTTGATTTTATTATTATACATTTGACAATATATGTTCAATATATTGTGCCAAATATAAATTTTTTTCAAAATACTTGATCGGTTTGCCCAACGTCTTTATTTCTATGATGATTTAAAAAGTCTCCCTTGAACCAAGTGCAATGGCATGCACCCATAGTTCCAGCTACTCAGGAGGCTGAGGCAGGAGGACTGCTTGACCCCAGGAGTTTGAGGCCAGCCTGAGCAACAAAATGAGACCCAGTCTTAAAAATATATTAGTTAAAATAATTAAATAAAATGTTTCCCTTAACATATTCAAAAGTCTTCTTATATATACTGGTATCTAATTTTCAACGTCATCCTAACACCCAGTTATCATCCAATCAGCACACCACCCCCCATCACGTCTCTCCAGACCAAATAAGCTAAGAAGCTAGGGAAATTTTCCACAGGATAGAATGACACTCGTTACTTCATGAGAGGAGCTCAGTCTCAGAGGAAGGGACCTGCCAGCTGCAAACCCGGCTTTTCCCCCTTAGTGGTTGTGGGTCCTCAGACCCGTTGCCTAGCATTTTGGGCCTCACTTCCCTCATCGGTATAAAAAAATAAAATGATAATGTCTACCGTGTGGATTTATTCTGGTATTAAATGAAATAGAACACATAAAATGACTGGCATATAGTAAGTAATGTTTAAGTGTTAGTTTCTTTATCCTCATACCCCCACTCCCCAACAAATGGAAAGATGGATATGCAGAAATCTATCCCAAACAATGAACCAGTTTATTTTCTTTATTCAATCCTTCTATCCCTTGTTCTCTGCCTCCATGCTTTCTGTGAAATACGGTGCGATTTACACAAGACAAAGCCAGTACCCTTCCCCATTACTTGCATACAGCTCATGGAACTGCACCAGAGATCATGATAGCTGAGAACCTCGGGCCTCTCTCTGGACAGACACTCTCAGGGTCATGATGAGGATCCCTGAATATTTGAAAAACAGCCTTAGGATCACTTGTTCATGGCAGCTGGAGGACATCGGTGGGCTGTCGCTGTGGCCATGGAGAGCATGTCAGCACAAAGGCAGCCTGTGGCATGTACTTGAGCAAAGAGTATTAACATGTGTGAGGGTAACCAGGCAATTTCAGAGTTACACACAAGCAGAAAAGAGGAAATTTGTAAAAATTATGAAAAGAAGTGGCAGGCCTGGTTAGGAAATACTTAGCCTGCTCCTCATATGTTGAATTTCAGGTGGCAACAGAACACTCAAGAGGTGCCTTGGAATCTGAGAATGCAAAGCCCCAAACAGAGAACATCCAGGTGAGAGCAAAGTCAACCAGACTCCTCCCAGCCTTTGCCCAGGGAGAATGAAGAGCGTGAAGTCCTGAACTTCACATCCCAGCAAGAGAGGGCCCTGTTCAGACCGGCGTCAGTTGCAATAGTAGCAAATGCAAAGACAGGACAAAAATGTTTGAAAACTTTAAGAAGGAGATGTGCTACTTTGCTGGAAGCTAATGTAACTCCTAGCAACAGGAACTAAGACCCTGTTTGTCCCTGTTATGCCCCGTTATAAAATAAGGGGTCTTGTTTCCTGTTGTCCTTTCGTTTGTCTATCTCAGGTACCTTCGCCCTGCTCAACCTCCACCCTAGCCATTTTATTTTAAGCTGTCGGCATCTATTTCTGAGGTGACCACATCCCCCACGTTACGAGAATTTTTAGAAAGTTAGGGGAGAGACCATTGTGATCGCCCTGTTGCTGCTAAACAAAGACCACCTCATTAATTCTTTTTGAACACACCTTTCAAATGTCCAGCCCTAAAGAATTCTCTCTAAGGAAAGGAATAATTAAAGTACAGAACCGTAAGTTTGGCCAAGAGAAAGACGAATAGACCCAGAGTCAGGCAAGCAAGTTTTATTAACCTGCTGGGCTGCTTTGCAACAATCAGAGGAGGCAGCCCCGAGCTTACAAGACAGGGGCTTGTAAGGAGTTCGTGGTGTTACATGGGGGTGAGAGGGGCATAAGGGAGTTTCAGGACTGAGGTAATCTACCTGCTGGTGACAAGCACAGAGAGAGTTTGTTAACTTGTAACAGAACTATAATACATCACCCTGGGACTTTTGTGGTGGCAGTTTTTTTTAAAAAAAAGAGAAACCAGGATTTTTTACAGATATGTGTCAAACAGGAATTTACAAGTACGGGTAACCAACATATGTTTTCCCTGTCCTCCCTCAAGCTACCAGAAGTCCCTAATCAGGCTTCGCTTAATGGTAGCACGTTTGGCAGCCTTGCTGTGGCGCCTAGGTAGGGGTTCAGGAATGCAGCTGCTGCAGAGCAGCAGAGGGGAAAGCCATTAGCCTGCTCCGAGGGGGTTTTCAGAGGCAGCTTGTCTCTAACAGGAACTAATGTTCCAGGGTCCAAGAATCCCAAGGGGTGACAAGGTCAGTTGTTCTGTGGCCTGTAAAGTTACCGTGCTTTTCACCTGGTTTCAGGAGGACATTTTGAAAGAGGAGCAATAAAAAACGCAATCACTGTTGTTATTTTTAACACCAATGCCCATGTTAGGGGCTGCAGACCCAGAGATTCCTCCTAACAGAATGCATTTTTTCAGGGCAAGTTAAGAATTATATATTTTTGGGGGTATCGTTGGGCACATGTTAAAGCATACAGTTCAAATGATAAATCAGAAGGGCCATGGCATTATAACAAGGGAGAGATTGGGTAGACCAGAAAGCCAGAGAAGGCTTTGTGAAAGAGACAGTTACCTCAAGGTGCTGACATGCAGCCTAAGGTTATAGAGATTTGTCTGGTTTGCTTCATGGAAGCTATCTGAACCCATTTCACACCAAAACAACCATGTTGAAATCCAAGAATAAATTGCAGAAAAGTCTAGTAGAATAACAGCCAGCTTGCAAATAGTTTTTGCTCGTATTTAACCTCATCTTATCCTTATAACTCCATGGGTAAGCAGTATACATATATCCTCTTTTATAGGTTTAAAACTGTGGCCTCAGGAGTTCAGAGACTATCTCTCAAAATGATCCTCCTCTTCCCATCTCACTTATTTTCCTCAATGAACCTGATTTGTTCACTTTGGTGTGATTCAGTAGTTTTCTTATGATGTTTCCTTAGCAATAAAGCAGAGATATAAACAAATGGCTTGGAGCACATTGAAGGTAACCTAAAGAAGAGGAAGGGCTGCAGCCGTGCCTCTGGAATCCAAAGGCTTTGACGATGACGCATAGATCTTAGAGGCTGTCAGAATGCTCAGTCAAGCAGGCAGCCACAGCCAAGGTCATGATGCCGTCAGCCTCTCCTCCACTGCTCCTCCTGATGCCATGGGAAAGCTCACTGGGGGACATTTTGGGATGGTGTTTTCCAAAGGTTTTGACATACTGTAACTGATACATGTGCAACTTTATAAAGGGCTTTCACATTCAACCATGTAGGTAATTGACTATGCCTCAAATTCAGAAAGATGTACAGAATGATACTTAGACATTAACCTAGATGTCTGACTGCAGGGAGATTCTAAGCCTTTGTGCTATGAGAGACAGAAGTCCTGTTATTTAACTATATCGTTGAAGTCGAGGTGGTAGACTTGCTGATCTCCTGCATCAGAGTTGCTCTGTCCTTGGCTATTCATTCTGTATTCATATCTTCATTAAATATTTATTGAAAACTCACTTAATGTGTGCCAGACATCACTGGCAACACATACGATGATGAACAAGGTCAATATGGCCCCCAGCTTTGTGAAGCTCACATTCTAGTGTAGAATATAGACAAGTGAGCAAATGATTGCAATATACTGTAAACTGGAGAAATTCAGAGTGCAGTAAAATGCTATACAGATATTGCCTAACCCATGCCTGAAAAAAATGATTTCTAAAATTTCTACATTTGTATCTTGATTTCCTGGAGATAACGTTTATGTGTTCTTTATTACAAGGGAACCAAGTCAATTACCAGAATTGAGGGTGAGGAAACATTTTCCCTTTGCTGGGAACATGGCAGAAAGCTCTTTTCCTGATTAGGAATTTGATAGTATCATCTCCATCCTAGGAGGACAAAGGCATACTACCATGAAAGATGTGTCCAAGTTACCTAGGATGAAACACGCTTGCGGAGAGAAAAGGTTTTCCATAGAAAGGGCAAAATGAAAGGAGTCACCTTAACAAAGTTGTAGGAATCAATTTTATGATTTGCCATCTCTCTTGGGTATTTTAGATGCTGGGATCACCACCTCGCTGAAGGGCGTTTCTGCCTTCCATGGTAAGTGGACAGTTGTTTTTAGGAGTTATTTCCCTAAGTGTGGTTTCAACGTGGTATTTGCCGTTAAGTTACTTGTGAACTCCCTGCTGTCTGTGGCCACAGCGGAATCCTGTCACTAGCCCAGATGAAATCACCTGAGAGTCAATCAGGGAAGCAATCCTTCCAATTTGATGAGAAACAGGAACAATAGGCTCATGGGTGGCATGCTCTCCTCAAACAGGAAAGCCTCAGAAGCAAAGATGAAACTAGCTACTAACATAGAAAAAAGACGCCTGTTTTTCACGCTGCAAATCTGAGTCTGTGTGTTCCAAAGCACATATTTCTATCCCTTGCAAATAGAATGTATAGTCGGGGTGATCATATAATTTATTATCCAAACTAAGATACATTTGAGAGTGAAAGGGATGCTAAAAATAGTTAAAGCTTGCTAAGTGATTGATAATGACCTTAACCAGACTGAGGCAAACCAGGACATATGGTCACCCACACAGCAGATGTCCCTGTCTACTGAAATGATGGTGGTTTTCCATTATATTTATATTGCATTTTTTTCAGGGGGTCTTTTATACAGTGTCCCCTTATGGGAAGAGTGTGTTTGTTTGTTTTGGAGATCATAGATTAGAATTGAGATTGAAAATAACCCTGGATCCTTCATGCACATGATATAACAGAAATTAGTACTTTGTTAGAAAAAAAAGTCTCCAAAAATGTAACCTATGATAACATCATATTTCCCCATCTATAAATCAATTCTCTATCAGATTTAGAAAAGAGAGAGGGGAGGAGAAAGAGAGAGAGAGAGAGAGAGAGACAGAGAGAGAGACAAAGGAATATATTTCTACTTGGCCTCATCTTTTACTTTTTTCTTTTTTATTTAACTCATGTATGTTGAAGGAGGTATTATAAAAGGCATATAATTTTAACAAAGAGTTAAAATAAGTTTTATAGGTTTGTATAATTTCCTTTGAGAGTTTCTGAATATTAAAGCAATTTGCTTTGCTTTTACAGGAAAAAAATACGCACTTTTGAAAAGAGGCAAGATTCCCAAAACGAAAGTAAGTTGTTGATTTCCTATCATTTTCACTTTTTGATAAGACTTATATTTCCAAACTGCTGCTTCTCCATGCTCCCAAAGACCCTTGGGCATATTTCAATTATAAGATCTACACATTTTGCGGCAAGGTATCCAATGGCCTGTGTTTTTTCCTCACTAGATGGTGAGCTCATTGAAGCAGGAATTGGCTCATTAATCTCCATATTCCTCAGTTAGTGCCTGAGGCCTGGAGGATAGAGGCAGTAACTGGGGGCAGGGATACAAAAGATGGAGGAGAAAGGCACTTACAAGAAAGTGCAAGAAAGCCACCCTGGGATAGGGAAGGGGTGGGGCCTCCTGGACAAGTTAAAGATTTTCATCTTTGTCTTGAGAGCTCTAGGAGATACTGGCTTTACACAAGGGGCGAGTATGATTAGATTTGTATTAAAGATATCACCCAGGTTGCTGTGCAGAGAACAAATTGCAGCAGGGGGTGGCAAGAGCAGATACCAGAAGATCACTTAGGAAGCTGGTGCAATAGTCTCTGGTGATAGAAAAGCATTGAAGTTAAGGAGAGAGAAGAATTCTAAAAGGAGAGTGTGGTGAATTGTATCACACCTAAAAATAAAAATAAGAAAGTGTAAGCCTGAGGACAGGCCATTGTGTTTCTGAAGAAGAAAAATGGAAGAGTTTTGACTTTGCCTCCCTTAAAGAGGAGAACCTAGTTCATCTACATAGAATCTTAAAATCTAGCACTGCAAGATGTGTACGTGAATGACATAGCCCTCCGACCCTAGCCACTTCACTCTGGGAATGGTGGGTCCCAGGGAACCTCAATTTCCATCAGAACAAAACATGATAGAAATAAGACCAGATGATAAAACTCTATGCTGAAGTTGCTTTTCTTATAGTGATAATCAGGGAAGTTTTAGATGGCCATAGGAGCTTATGGAGATGTGGAAATCCAGGATGAGAGGACCAAGAAAATGTCAATCCATGTACTATACGGTAGCCTCCTCTGGAGACTTTCACACAAGGGCACATGTTTGCTTACGGAGTTGGTGTCTTTGGAAGAGAATAGCAAGGGTGTCAGTTTGCCTTTTTGCTGAATGGCCAGAGCCATTTGGTTATAACTAGGCTTTGAAAAATTGCCCAGCTTCTTTGTTATCTGCCAGCAGGTATAGGAATAGGATGTTTGGCTTAAGAGTTTCCTGTTCTGCAAAACTCCTTGAACACCAACTTTCACACCACCAGCGTCCCGTCACCTACAGCAGAAACAATGGCCCTCGCTTCATAGTACGGACCTCTCACACTCCCTTGTCTGTATCCTGTGCTAGCTTGTGAGCCCCTTGAGGACAGAGACTGTTTCTGATTCTTCTTTGCCTCCCCAGTGCCCGATGCAGAGGCACTGAATTTGTGTAAGGAATGAAAATAAATTTCGTTTAAGGAAGGAGTGGGGCTAGGGAAGGAGGGAAAGAGAGCTGGAGGAAGAAACTGTGATTTCCTATCCAAAGACTAACCAAATGTGTCTCCCCCCCTGACCTCTCAGACCAGGCACAGCTCCCCGGCTGTGACTTGTTTACATGCACTGTCACTCCCCAGGGATGTGCTGTAGATCAGAATAGGCTGGGAAGAGCTATCCCAGCTGTTCCTTTTAGTTATTTATATTCTAGTCTCCCCTGCTCCTCCTCTCAAATCTCCCCATAACCTGAAATTCATTGAGTGTATTTTCTTTCTCCAGATAAAGGAATGTCATCTACTCCCATCCAGGTAATAAGAACATCTCTAAGCTAACCTATTTTTTGAGATGATGTTAGAAGTGAAGACATCCCAAATGGCAGAAGAAGTTGGCCTCCGAGATCCTTTCTGACACTTACATGGAGGAGGACTTTAGACGTCAGTGCTTGTGAACCCAGGTGTCATAAGCAGGGCCTGGTGGCAGAGCAGCAGTCACCTCTGCCAGATAACTTCCTGAAAGGAACTTAATTAACTGACCACTTCATTTATGGCAGACAACAGGCTGAGTGCTTTGCACACATCAACTCATGTAGCTATCACAACAACCCTTGAATATTGCTACTATTATGCATCTCATCCCCCCATTTTATAGATGAGAGAACTGAGTGATTAAGTGAGAATCCCCCAAAGCCAGATAGCTAACAAGGGGGTGGAGCCAGGATTCAAAAGTAAGTTTCACTTCAAAATCCGTGCTCTTCCCCCTGTACTTTGCTGCTTTGATTTTTATCTCATGGTATTGCATCATAAACCTTCCCTTGAGTTCTTTCCCTATTTAATAAAGCAAGTATCTCTATAGGGTAATTAAATATCGTAACCAAAACTCACCCAGACTGGCGTGCGATGGCACGATCTCAGCTCACTGCAACCTCTGCCTCTCGGGTTGAAGTGATTCTCCACCCTCAGCCTCCCGAGTAGCTGGGATTACAGGCACCTGCCACCACGCCCAGCTAATTTTTGTGCTTTCAGTAGAGATGGGGTTTCACCATGTTGGCCAGGCTGGTCTCAAACTCCTGACCTCAGGTGATCCACCCGCCTCGGCCTCTCAAAGTGCTGGGATTATGGGCGTAAGCCACCGTGCCCAGCCAGATTATTCTTTTTTATGAGAATAGGCTATCCTCAGAGCCCTGAGATTGGGAATTATATGGGTAGTGTTTAGTCCACTGATGTTGCTATAAAGGAATATGCAAAGCTGAGTAATTTATAAAGAAAAGAGGTTTATTTGGTTCATGATTCTTCGGGCTGTACACTCCTAACTGCAAGGATGGCACCAAGTCATTCAGGAGGCATCTGCTCCCATAACAAAAACACCTCTCACTAGGCACCACCTCAAACACTGGTAACCAAATTTCAACACTGGATTTGCAGGGAACGAATATTCAAACTATATGAGGTGCTTAGGGGTCACTCCGGAACAAGGGGCAGAGAGGATGCACCTGAGTAGGCCCTATACAGTAGGCACTCTTGCTGCCTGGGTAGAGCAGCCATTTAGAAAAAAAAGGCCACCTGCCGGGCGCAGTGGCTCAAGCCTGTAATCCCAGCACTTTGGGAGGCCGAGGCGGGTGGATCACGAGGTCAAGAGATCGAGACCATCCTGGTCAACATGGTGAAACCCCATCTCTACTAAAAATACAAAACATTAGCTGGCCGTGGTGGCGCGTGCCTGTAATCCCAGCTACTTGGGAGGCTGAGGCAGGAGAATTGCCTGAACCCAGGAGGCAGAGGTTGCGGTGAGCCGAGATTGCGCCATTGCACTCCAGCCTGGGTAACAAGAGCGAAACTCCGTCTCAAAAAAAAAAAGAAAAAAAGAAAAAAAAGGCCAAGAGATGGGGAGGAGGTCGTCATAGAAGACAGGCTTGACCCAGGGTCAAGCCTGTGTTGAGACTGAAGTGTAAAGGTCATGGCAAAAGGCCAAATCTTGATGATGCCTCTCCTTTGACCAGCAGGACAGTGTTGACCAGACCTACTCAGAGGAGCTGTGCTATACCCTCATCAATCATCAGGTCCTCTGTAGAAGGCCATCAGGGAACTCTGCTGAGGAGCACTATGAGAATGTTCCCTGCAAAGCTGAGAGACCCAGAGAGTCCCCAGGAGGAACTGAGACTGAGTATTCACTTCTACACACGTCTTCTACCCCTAGGCATGCCCCATCCCCAGAAGATGAATATGAACTTCTCATGCCTCCCAGAATCTCCTCTCACTTTCTGCAACAGCCACGTCCACTTGTGGCCCCTTCTGAGACTCAGTTTTCCCATTTATAGTGACGTGGTTAGACTGGCATTTGTTTAGCACCAGCAAATACAAGGTGGGATGGGGGATCTGCCTGAAGCAGGGATGGGAAACAAAGTCCCTCTAGCTTATCTCCCACAGCAACCCTTTCCCTGCAGAGCACGGTTTTTGTACCACAAGCCCTCTTAGATAGCACACAGAAGCCAAAATCTAAGATCAACCATTTATCCTGAACATCACCATTTGAGAAAGAGCTAACCATCTTTGGTTCTACACGGTTTGGAGAATATAGTGATAGGAGCTATGAAGCTATGCATACCCCAAGGGGTTCTACTCTTCTACCTGGGATCTTCTTATAAAATGTTCCCATGATTGTTTTCTGAAGTCAAAAGGAAGCTTTACTCATTATACTAAGTATGCCCAAGGGGGAGTTTACTCATTACAGTGGCCTTCCAGCTCAGCTCCCACCCCATGGGAGCCTGTGTTGCTCCTCTCACTCCGTGTGTCTAAGCCATGTCTTCTACATAGTGTCCTTTGACCTGTTGGCCCCCATGGTCTGGTTTGTTACGTGAGTTGAATCAAGATGCTCTAAGCCAGATGTTACATAATTTTAACCTATATGATTTTATCTTTAACTTTGTATTTCTCCTTAGAAATCTTAATAAGACAATTATAGCATCAGGCTATGATAAAGAAGAACGATCCTTGGAGATCTCATAGTCGCACTAGCCTTTCTTGGCTGAGAGAGGATAATTTGCTCTATGATACATTAAAGTTAGTGGCAAAAGTTAATTTGGAGTCTGATTTCCTACTGACTTCCAATTTAGTCCTCCAGTAGGCTACATAGAAAGCCCTCTGCAATATACTAAATGCATATAATTAATAATATGTATAAAATATGAATACAATGTCCACATGAAGTGAACACATCTACACCTCTTTGATAAGCATTCCTCTGTGTGTCCTCATGATTTACTTTCCCTTATCTTTTCTTTAGTGTTCCTCAAATTATATCTATCCTCTAAACCAGGGATCAGCAAACTATAACTCACAGGCCAAATCGCCCCACTCACTGTTTTTATAGATAAAGATTTATCAGAACACAGTTACACTAGTTTGTTTACCTACCATCTATGATTGTTCAACCGTGGGAGAGTTGAGTAGTTGTGACATGGACAATAGGCCCCAAAGAGCCAAAATAAATATACTTGGGCACTTTGTGGAAAAAACGTTTGCAGACACCTGCCCTAAATGATCATAGTTTGAGAGAAACTTAACAGAAATGTGTTTGGTTACTGATGCATAAGAGCAGGCACCAATAAAACGGCATAAAAATATTAAATCACAGATTGGATGAGTGAGACCAAGACAATTTAGCAAATTCTACTATTTCTGGATTCACACCTGTGTCTTCTTCTTGCTGTTTTGTTTAACTCATGGCTGCGGTCCTAACTTTAGGGATGCTAAAATAGTTTGTTTTGAAAGAGGTTTGTTAAGCAGTAGGTACATTACGTTTACTAGACAGGCCCTTTGACCAGGTAAGTGACAGGGCTCCTAGTACATTATGTTTAGTTACTGTTTTCTTCTCAAAGTTACCCAGAGCAAAATAACTTTGCTATTTAAAATGTGCCAAGTGCCAAAATGAGGAGAAATCCCGTGGCTTGAGCTTGAATGTGTCACAGGTTTGCAGGGCCTTCAGCCAGGTGATGGTCTTCAGCTAAAGAGCCAGCCGCATCTCAGTAACTTGTCCTCTGCTAACATCCTACTTTTAGCAAAATTATTTCACGTGGAACTCTAGCTGATCCTTGGCCAGGATAAGATCCTCAAAAGGAGGTAATCATGTCAGCAGTGGATATTGTATGAGATGTAACATGGCTTAGAGGAAAGAGTGTGGACCCCAGAGACAGGTCATCAGTCATTCAAATCCGGATTCTCTTCCTCCATCTGTGACTTTGAACATGCTAGTGGGGGCTCAGCTTCTTTACCCATCAACAGGAGGATTACATCTAATGTAGGCAAATCATCGATTACAGATGCCTAATAAATGATATCAAAGAGAATAGAAAAACAAAAATCTTTTATGATGTATGGGAAAAAACATGCTGATGCAGCTGGTTATTCAGGGTCACCCAGCCGTCCTCCAGCAAAGTAGAAATACCAAATCAATGAGTTGATGCTAGAATTTTTCACATGGCTACTTGACCATTGTGGAAGTAAATTGGTTGAAACACTCTTAGTAGGACATGGTAAGTTATGTTTGTTTGAACCTTGTCCTGTGAAAGCATTATCTGTCCCAAACAGTTATCAAAATGCTTAAGCAAAGATAGTTATTCTTATAATGAAATTATAACAGGGATTTATAAGAGGGAATTATAAGAGGGATTATAAAAGGGAATTATTTTTGAGCAGGGGGAGCCATTTGGGAGTACTTCAAGATACCCAGTAGAAGATATACAATTATGATTTCTCAGTGAAAAGTAAATTAAGAACAAAAAAAATGAGTAAAAATATCTGATGAATGTAATGTACTTAATGTGTAGGATGTCTCAAATTTCCAGTAAATAAATTTTGATGTCCAAAAATACCCACTGTGTCTGTATGTAACACTGATCCTGTTTCCCCTACATTTTAGGATTTCTGTTAAAAGCTGTGCACCCCCTTTGCAGAAAATGCACATTCACATACACACACGTTTTTATATGATGTATGCGGGGGTTAGGGATGCAACCCCTCAGTGAAAGAATCCCTATTCCTGATAAAGAACCTGAGCCTTAGCAGTTAAGTTACTCTCTCAAGCCACAGATATAACCAGAAAACTCCCTCTCACTCATGCTGGTCTTAAAACTACATAGCCAAAATTCAGAGGCACAATTCATGCCACAACTGCAGACTTTGTGGTTTCCGTTTTACATACATACTAGCATCTATAAATAATCCCTTATTCTGTGAATAAATTCTTATTTAAAACAGAAGAGAAAAATAGGAAGAGGGCAAAGAGAGGGCAGGAAAATCTGTTGACAACAATTGAAATGCTAACTTTTTTAGGACAAACTTGTATGACAGTTGCTTTGGATATTTTCAAGGATGTAAGGGCATGGACAGAACAGGAAAGAGAAGCCTCCAAGATTCCATGAGGGCTCCAGGGAAAAGCAGACTCTGTTTCCATTTATCTCTGTTCTTTTCCAAGTTCAGAAAGCCACTTGATCTGAGCATACCTTGGCTTTGCCAAATGTTAAGTGTACCAGTGTAAATTCTTCCTACTTTCCTACAGAAGTCTCTTTTCCAAGGCACTTGGTGAAGGCTTGAGAGGTCATCATCATCACAGACAGTCTCCTGCAGTCTGAGGGCCCTCTCTTTCCATTTCTCCTGACCCCTGACCATCTGTGCTCATTAGGGATTCCCAGATGTCAACCAAGCCTGAACTGAGCATGACCCTGGGATCTTAGCTGGCCATTCATCATGTGTGGTTGACCTGTGGGCTGGGCTTTGCCCTCAACAAGCTATAGAAGTCTGGGCTGGCCCTCCCACCTCTCCCAGTAGGATTTGATTTCCCAACTGTGAGATAAGGGAGATGCGTTTTGATGCTGAGTCTATGATCTCTCATTGCAAAGGAAACATTCAAGGATGTCTGTGGATAAAGCAATAGTGTGAATTAACTTATTTTAAAGCAATGAAAGAGTAATGGGAAAGGAGAAGGAGGACATTGAAAGATGTTTCCCATTTTTTTCTTAGCGTTGGTCAGACTCTGAATAAGACAGGAATTCATGTCCAGAATTCACATGTAAAAGACAAAGGAGAGAATATGTTCCTCAACCCAAAAAGGCACAAACATGCATAAAGGAAAGCGAATCTTCTTATTCAAATCGTACCAGTGCTTCAGGATTAAGCTTGACTCCTACTTCCCACAAAAAAAAAAAAAAAGACTCCTCCAATTAAACTATACTGACCACTCTTTTCTCTGATCACCGACAACCCTACTGTTTGCCTTTGTTTTCGTTTGTTCGTTTGAGACAGAGTTTCACTCTTGCCATCCAGGCTGGAGTGCAATGGTGTGATCTCAGCTTACTGCAACCTCTGCCTCCCAGGCTCAAGCAATTCTCCTGCCTCAATCTCTCAAGTAGCTGGGATTACGGGTGCCTGTCACCATGCCTGGCTAATTTTCAGTAGAGATGAGGGTTCACCATGTTGGTCAGGCTGGTCTCGAACTCCTAACCTCATGTGATCCACCCACCTCGGCTTCCCAGAGTGCTGGGATTACAGGCGTGAGCCTCCATGCCCAGCCTACCTTTGTTTTTAACCCCTGGGTATTTTTTCCTGCTGTTTCCTGTTCATCTGTACTGGCCCTGACTTCTTAGTAAAACTAACAGCTTTGTTTTTATTGTTGTCTTCTCCATTAGAATCCCCTACAGCCTTATATAAAATGCATCATTTTTTTAAAGCTATAGAACTAAATTAAATTGAAAGGCAAAAATGAATCAGACACATGGCTGGAATTTTCATTGGCAGGAGAAACAGGAGTGGGTTCTGCTGATATGGCTGTCACCCTTCTATCCATATCTAAGTGACATCCAGAAAAGAGCAGTTTTCCTTCTCAAATCCTTGAATTATTGAAAGCTCACTATGTGCCAGGCATTATGCTCATCATTACGTTGTGTGATGACCAGTAGCTTTATCTCCTACAGCAGAACAGTGCATTTGCAAGGGCCATTTTTTCAAGCACCCCCAACTATGTGAGTCACAAAGGTTAATTCTTTTCATACCATTTGGGCAGAAAAGTCAAACCTATGGAAAGTCCTCTCTATGACTTGCAAATGGTCAAAACCCAAAACAAGGTACTTGCAGCTTGGTGCTTTCCAAAAAAGAAGGGAAAAACAAAACCAAATCCTGCCTCCAGACGTGAACAAGCCATTCCTTCAAGCCCAAGCCCTTTCAGATACAAGTCCTGCCAGAGAGGGCCTCAGAGAAAGAGGAGGGCATAGCCTCTTCCCTGCTCTTGCTGGAACACAGATGAGAACCCAGGCTGCCCCAGCCAAACTTGGCTCGATCTTACTCACCCAGAAGAGGAAGCTGCCCTCAGGGAAATGAAAAGATTACATTCAACACCATTTACTACAAAAAAACAAGACCAACCAAACAAAAAAATCCAGCCCAAAGCAGAGCCAATGAGAATGCAACAACACAGATGCAAAAATAATTTATTGTAAATGTTTTTAAATCATTCTCCATTAAAATTTTTCATTATTTTCTAAAAAATACAAACACACTAAAGTTCACATTTGACATGTAAAAAATAAAGAGGAAGAAGAGAAATCCACTAGTTCCACTAGTTTAAGGAACAACCCCTAAAATGAGACAATGATCTATAGTACATGTATCTTCTAGTTAAATAAGAAAGCAAATTCACATTATCTGGAGTCCTGGGTCATAAAGACTCAAGTCAAATCTAGTCTGAGGCAGATCCTCTAGCATGTGCCCACACACGGCTGCGCCTCACACTGACTTTAACCCAGAGCTGATTTAACCGAGAGACTGGGGCTAGAGATCTGTCAAGATACAGCACAAAACTCTTTCTCCTGGTAAATTTCTTTTCCCAACAAAACAAATACTCCGTTCCCTCAGGACAGGCAATTCTGTATCTGTAAACAACCAACACAGTCGCTAATATTCCTCCTACCCCCCAAATAGCTGGCAAAACCTTCCAACAATTTATTTTCAAAGCAGAGTGGTTCTTCTTGTATCACCACCATCTGTAACAGGATATGCAATCATTGCCTGAAGACACTGAGTCCTACAGGAAGGTTTGTAACACTGGGCAACAAAAAGCCAATGCATAATATCCATAGTAGACATTCAACAGCCTTAATGATTCTCTTAATGGAAGTTTATAAACAATACAAATGGAGTGACTATCCAAAGTGATAGTAGGATGCTGAAAACTCACAGGGACTCACGTTTCCAAAAAGGGTGTTCAGGAATCACAGGAACAATGAGGAGTTGCAAAACAATGAAGAAACACATAGCTCCCATCTGTAGCTAGCTATATATATAGATCTCAAAGTAACCTGGGTGGTGTGCCTAAGGCTGGTTGGCTGATACTCAGGTGCAGGTCATGGAAGCAGACACAGCCACACTGCTGAGGCCTTCTAAAGTGCCTTCCTTTTCTTCATACCCTGGCTTAGAGGTAGATCAAATAGAATGGTGGAGGGAAGAAGGGTGATTTCAGTGAATGATTGGCTTAGTCTTCCTAACCTGGCTGCCTGCCTCTCCCTGCTCTACCAGCTCATGCTTATGTGATCCCACCTAAAAGAAGGCAGTGCACCTCTGCGCTAAAGATAAAGTAACCCAGGTGGGTGGTGTGCTTCAAGAACAGCAGTGAGCCATGACAGCACCACCGCACTCCAGCCTAAGGATAGAACAACACCCTGTCTCAAAAAACAAAAACAAAAAAGAATACCAGTGACCTCCCACAGTGGGACACACCTGCTGACACTATTGCCCCTACCCTAGCTGACTTCCTGCCTTTGTCAAGACTGGACCCAGCTGAAGCAGTGCTCAGGAGCTGTTTTACTGGGCTTGGAGCCAGACTGCAGAATCAGGAGAGAAAGGAGTCTCCACCTCCCTGGTTGTTGCTGGTGCTTCTGAATTAATTCACAGAATCTTTTCTGTAAAACAGAGTGAATTCCCTTCATCTCTAGGACTTGGTGGAGCACTGCTTTCAGACGCAGACCAACCTCCATCACTTCATTCTGAAAAGATAACACAGATGAACACAAGTTACTGATTTTTAAAACCATTATTAAACACTTATGTTTTTATTTCATTTCACTGGATTTGAGTATAAAATCTTGGATAAAATTGCAACGTTTATAAATTCCTAACAGAGGAAGTTTACTGTTCAGTCCACATATACACATACCCCTCTGAATACATTTCAAAAGGCAAATCACATTTCTTGTTTGTTGCTTATTTGGGTAGGATGCATGAGAAATACAATGTTGATGATGTGGTTTTTGGGTGCTGAAGACATTTTAACATCCAGGCTTTTTTCATAATTTAACCATAAACTCTGAAGTTTCAGTTTTTAAAACGTGTGTAATATACTGTGAGAAATCCTGATAAGAGAAACACTGTGAACCCTCAGGCGAGGATGCAGGTTCAGACAGATGCAAGTCCCTCAGCAGACACACACACAGGGAGCCTGCCAGGGTCTACACAGCCGGAGTTCAGCCTCACCACCACTGACAGGACTGACAAGATTCGCTATTCCCCTGCCTGGGGCTTTTCCCTCTGCTCTCTCACAAAAATCCTGGTTTTGCTCTTTTTCTCTATTTAGTCTACGAGCTCCTTCCCATGTGAGAACAGTACCAAGTACCTCCTCTGTGTCCAAAATAACCCATGATGCTGACCTATTCCTTGACATTTGTAAAACAGACTTCCCCATTTTAGCCTGGGGCCCCACTCATCTAGAAGGTGAAGAAGATCAAAGATAGAGAAGGGTGAGGGACGGTGGACTTGAAAAATTTTATCATTATATTTCAAGGAAGGTTTTTATTTTTATAAGGCATGGAAATATGCAT